CCTGGGCGCGCGGACGGGGACCCCGCGGGCGGAGCACGGGGGCGCGGGGCGGGCCTGCCGCGGACGTCTGGGCGCCTCCGCTTTCTTGGCTTACGTCTTTGGAAATGGAATCACGTCCATGAAAACTGGTTGCGTGTGCTGGAGCGGAGCTGGATGCGCGCTCGCGGAGCCTCGGAGGGACCGCAGTCACGCCGAGTCTCACCTGGCCCGTACTCAGCCCGAGTCGCCGGCCGAGCGCCGGCACGCACTGGGGACCTCACTGAGGCCGCTGCCACGGTGCTGGTCCAGAGGGCGTTTTTGAGGGACGGGAAGGGGCAAAGATGGGAGACGAGGGTCACAATTTCTGCAATAATTCATATTATTTTCTTTAAGCACACTATTATTCAGCCAGGAGCACAAATGGTAGAGCACAAATGGAGCGCAGTGGTAGAGCACTTGGCTAGCATTTGTGAGGTCCTGGGTTTGCACAGCTTTGGAACAGTGCAGCGAGCTTTCTTTTTCTTTCTTTCTTTCTTTCTTTCTTTTTTTTTTTTTAAATAGCCAGAACTCATGTGTTTTGTGTCTCTGAAGTTCACTAGCCCTGGGATGTTGCACTGCCCTGGGTTTCCGTCTTTCCGTTTTGACGCGTCTGTTTGATGAGTGGCGGGCGCGCACCTGCTCTCCGTCCCCTCCCCCACGCACCGTCGTTTTCCATATGTGGCGATAGCAACGTGCTCTCCTTGTTTTTAAATGAAAAATAAAAGTAGATCAGATATTTACAATAAAATTATCTAGCATAGACCAGCCCTCGCTTTTTCTTAGTTCTGCTCATTTATACAAAGGGTAGACTGTTTTTGTTTAGTAAAAACAAATTATGAATTTAGGCTTTGATGAACAAAGTAAGATACCACAAGGGAGATAATTAAACTTGGACTTATTCATGGATTTTTTTTTAGGATAAACAAAGACAAAGGGATTCAAACAGGTAATTTGTAGATCACACAAATATAGTAGGACAGCGTTCTAGTATTTTCTTATATTTTGGGTAAAGACGCGTTTGTTATCCTAAGAAATTTGGCCACGCTTCTGTCTCTGTGTAGAGGAATACTGCTTATCCCTCCTCATAGTGTATTCTTCTGGAGACTCAAACTCCAGTGCATCACTTTTGTTTGTTTATGGAGAAAAAGATGCTGATATTTGACCATCTTAGCTCTTGAGGATATTTGGGGACACCGTCTTATGTTTGTTCTTAGTGTAGATAGAGCTAGAAATTGCAAAGATTTTCAGAGTGTGGAACATCATTAGTTTATTCTTATTCAAAAGTAATGTGACAGCCAGGTGTGGTGGTGCACGCCTGTAGTCCCAGCACTTGGGAGGCTAAGGCAGGAGGATCACTGTGAGTTCAAGGGGAGCCTGAACTACGTAGCGAGATCCTGTTCAAAAACAAACTAAAATACCTGCAGGCATAGAGGATTTTAGTTGGCAGCAGGCTGGGGATGGAACTCAGTGGTAGAGCACTTGGCTAGCATTTGTGAGGTCCTGGGTTTGATCCCCAGCTCAGGAGGGAGGAAAAAGTTAGGGGTTCTCAGCCCTCACTGCTGAGAAACACTCCCAAGAGCTTTAAAAAAATACTCACGCATCGGTACTTTTTTTTTTTTAATGCAGCTTGAGACTTTAACCTGCACCACGGTCATCTGAAAGGCTTGTTAAAACGGCCTGCTGGATCCTTCCCCTAGACTTTCTGATTCATTAAGTCTGGTTTTGGTGTGAGAATTCATATTTCTAACGCATTTCAGCGAAGTGAAACTCCTGTCCACTCCCGTCCCGCTGCTCACCTCTGTAGGTGAGGGACTGAGAGGTGAGTGGAGTGGAGTGCAGAGTGGCAGTCACTTGGTCAGCAGTCCTGTCCTGTCACCGTGCAGTGAGTGTGTGGCCTCATTAAGATAAATCAAACCTTAGCACTGCATTGCCTTCAGACTGTAGCTAATTTTCCCTCCATTTTTCTCCCCTCTATCCAAATTTCACCTTGAGGGCCGGGGATTTAGCTCAGCGGCACAGCGCCTGCCTGGCAAGCGCGATGTCATGAGTTCGATTCCCGGTACCGGAAAAAAAAAAAAACAAAAAAAACCAAAAAAAAAAAAAAAAAAAAGATAATCAAATTTCACCTTGAGGGAAAAATTGGTTGTGAGGCCAGGCACAACGCAAAGGCTGTATTCTAGTCATTTCTGGAAGGCGGCCAGAAAGACCTTGTTTATGCATGTGGTATGCACGTGTACCTAAAACACACAGATATTTTTCAAATGTTTGCCTGGAAAAATAATGCTCATGAAAAAGCATGTAGTCCCCAGAAAATGTCCTTGGGTACAGAGTGCACACTGTAAGGGCAGGTTCCTGAGGAGAACTGGAGAGCGTCAGCGTGATTTCCACTAAGTTCGCAGGAAGCAGAAAGCAACTTTGATGTCCTAGTTTCCTTTACAAAGTAGTGGTATTCAGTTTTGAACTGTATTCCATGATTTTCTCAATAACAAGTGTTTCGAGATATTAGTGAAGATACTTTTCCTTCCATTTATGGCGTTTGTTGCTTTGTTAATAGTTTCTCTGAAGCTTTATTTTTGAAGCCACTTTAGTCTGCTTATAAGAATAAATTCTCAGGAACAGCTAGGTGCATTGAGCAATGCTGGAAATATCTCATGAGATTATGCCTTAAAAATCTTGGGCAGTTGGATGGGTGAGTCTTCAGGGCTGTTACTGATGGACATTTGGCATTGTAAGGGAGCTATCTGGTCCCTTTTAGTTGCCCTTAATCTATTGACTTTGTGTCCTTTTTGCTGGGTCTAGCCACAAGCTGATTTTAGCTTCCCTACAGCAGTCGCTATCAGTAACTTTTCTCTCACTTCTACTGTCTTTTTGGCTACCTCCAGTTTCCTTTCTCCCCACCCTCCTTACTCCATTAGCAATTTCCACTCTTTGCTAAGTCTTTGCAGGGGTGGAAGGAAGAGAGAGCTAGGCAGGGAAAAGTAAAATGTAGGCTTTTAGGTAAAAGCAAAAGCAAAGGTGAGGAACCACTGGCTAACAACTGCTCGAGATGCCTAGGAGATAGGATGTTTAGAATTTCAGAGAAAGTGGCTTGACTTTGAGTGAAGATGTTCTGAAATTCTTGAGTAAAGTTGTTTCCAATCATAATAATTATTAAAACATTTACAAGTGATGCCACGTAAAGATATAGGCAGTTAGACAATTGCAGTTTGTCCGGACACTTCTAAAGCTCCCAGAAAAAGAATGTAGCCCACAGGAAAAATCCTTATGTTTTCAAGCAAGAATTATTCATTTATTATGCAAACATTTGAAGAGGAATAGAATATTTTCATTCTTAAAGAACTTCCTTTGTGATGGAGAAACCTACCTTAAATAGTTAATGTCACCACCAAGTGACAAAATGATATCCTGATCTTCCTGCTATGAAACAGGACACAGTGCCACCTACTATCCCCAAAATGTTTAACCTGTTGTAATCATGAGGAGACATGAGACAAACCCTGAATGAGAGTTATTCTGTGAGAATTAATGTCACAGAAGGTGGCCGAGACACTGGTCTAGATGGAAAGTAACCAAAAAGACAACTAAATGCAGTGGGTGGAGTTTCGTTTGGATCCTAGATTGGGGGAAAATGCTACAAAGGACAGCATTGTGATAATCGGCGAGATTTGAACAAAGGTTGTGTATTGGAAGAGCATTGTATCAACATCTAAAGTCATAAACTTTCGATGTTGCAGTTTATTGCAGTTTTAAAGGGAATGTCTTTCTTAAGGGAGACTGAAGTAGTTAGGGATCAGAGGACATGTGTCTACAACTAAATTTCAAATGCTTTAGGGAAGGGAACATATGTAGGTATGTGAACCTTGATAGATATATGCATACCATGCAAAAAATGAAAAAGAGATAAAGCAAATGTAGCCAGATGTTAACATTTGGTAAATCTACAAATTTCTTGAACTGTTCTTGGAACTCCTCTATAAATTATTTTGGGGAAAAAAGCTTATTAATACTCCACTGGGATGCCAATGTATATTTAAGGCATTGTGACCTAACATGATTGAATTTAGTTTTTGAAAGAATAATGCTAAAGGACTCCCAATTATGTACTCTTGATTCCAATTTGAGATGATGATATTAACTTTTTTTATTGTAGAAAATGTTATATGTGCTGACGAGAGCATAATATAATAAACCCCCATGTACCTGGGCCTACCCAGCTTAGCAAGTAGCAGCATTTTACCGATCTTGTTGCATCTGCCTCCACACCCCTCTGAATTTTCTGCAGGAAGTATTTCTAAAGCTAATCCAAGACCTTATGTTATATTAACCATAGAGCTATGCTTCAGTGTGTCTCTGCGCATGCGTCTGCCCTATCACTCCCAGGCTGTTTTCCCAGTTAAGGAGCAATTCTGC